TTGTTGCCCAGGCTGGAGTGCAATGGTGTGATCTCGGCTCACTACAACCTCCGCCTCCCAGGTTCAAGTGATTCTCCCGCCTCAGCCTCCCGAGTATCTGGGATTACAGGCATATACCACTATGCCCGGCTAATTTTGTATTTTTAGTAGAGACAGGGTTTCCTCCATGTTTGTCAGGCTGGTCTCAAACTCCTGACCTCAGGTGAGGCGCCTGCCTCAGCCTCCCAAGGTTCTGGGATTACAGGCATGAGCCACCGCGCCCAGCCTACCCGCAATTACTTTTGCAGCAACGCTAATATATCTTTTCTTCTAAAACTTTGACAGTAAACTGTTCCATACTCGGAACAGATTAACAGAACCTGCCATGTTGGGCAACACACACGCGCACACACACACCCCCCACAACACACTGGGAAGAGGGTGCATATCTTATCACATAATTTTCCATTGGACCAGCATAGGCAAATGGTTGATGTAAAAATTTTCTACAGAGAGGTGCAAAAAATACCATGCACACACATGTTGATAAGAAAATAAAAAATGCTTTCCCTAATAAAGGAACTACTAAAAACATAGTGTTTTAATGTCAATAGCCTACATTTCCCAAGAGCCTATAATGCTAGCCAACACCTGTGTGTGTACTGGAAGCACAAGGTGAGGAGTTACACAGAGCTGCATGAGGACGGGCCACCGCAGGGTCTGTATCATGCATTGTTTCTTTGTCACATCTGTGGTTTCCTGAATTCTCGCTTCCAGCTGTTGTTAAAAATGGCTGCTTTCCATTTTGCTTTTATTCTGAAGGGAAGAAATCCAACCACTGAACAGACAATATTACTCAACTTTTGTCTTCATTTTGCTCCTTTTTTTTTGGAATATTTCAACTAGCAAACCTGAAAAACATCACTAAGTTTCTGCCTCATGACACGCTGAACAAATACTTCTCTACTCATCTTAAACCTCTCTTCCGGATCCCAAGTACCATACTGCCATCCACACAGATTCAAGTATTCCACTACAATCAAGAAATAACACAGTCGCTCTTTGTTTCTAATTTTAAAATCTTATGCTGAACAAAAAAAGCAATCTACTTTGACGTATTTTTTCTTTATAAACCTGTGGTGGTTGTTGCTCATTAAAGATGAGTGCTGCATAAAAATGGGATTTACTACTTCAAGAGATTCATCATTGTCGTCTGTTCAATTTTAATTACCTGATATTTCAGAGAAAAGATCATTGCTGAAATTATTTCTGTCCTGTCATCTCAGAATACAAGTGGTTTCATAACTGATTTAATTCTAGTTTCTCACCTTTAACTCTGCCTCTTGGACTTAAACCTATTTATATCCCTGCATTGAAATTATCACATAAACTGGAAAGTTGTTTAATTTGAAAGCCAGTCTTCAATGGAACTGCTTATTTTTTGAAATCCTCTTCACTATCTTTATGGAAGCTTTTGAAGTTCCACAAACCATACAACACTAACAGACTTACATACTTCACATCCATGATTTCAAATGGTGAAGACTCACAAAAGGACTCTGAAGTATCTAATTTACATTCTTGATATCCCCCAAATATATAAATTCTTATGATGGAAATGTTGAACATTTCAAATTGGAAAGAAGAAAACTAAATGACCATCCTTCCAGCCCCATTCCAAAGATAGTAACTATTACCAACGTGGTGCCTTCTCTTTCTCTTCTTTTTCCTTTTGCATTTTTGTAGAGTGTGGGCTAAACTTGTCTTCCTCGTAAGATTTTTAATCTCAGGAAATAAAACGCTACCCATTTATGCTCAGACCAGAAACCCGGGGGTCATTCTTGTCTTTGTCTTCTCCATTCCCCATTAACAGTTTTTCTGGTGCCAATACCTTAACACCTTGCAAATTTGTCTCATTCTTTCCTTCCCTGTTGTCACTACACTAAATTCAGGCCACATCATTTAGCTGGATTATTGCAACACATTCCCAGTTGTCTTCCTGCTGCTAGCCTTCCTCTACCAATCCATTCTGCAGATGTCAATCAGAATAATTTATCTAAAATGAAAACCAGGCCAGGCGCGGTGGCTCACACCTGTAATCTCAGCACTTTGGGAGGCCGAGGCGGGTGGACCACTTGAGGTCAGGAGTTCAAGACCAGCCTGGCCAACATGGAAATGCCATCGATTCTAAAAATACAAAAAATCAGCCAGGCGTCGTGGTGTGCACCTCTAATCCCAGTTACTTAGGAGGCTGAGGCAGAAGAATAGTTTGAACCTGGGAGGCGGAGGTTGCAGTGAGCCAAGACTGGAGCCACTGCACTCTAGCCTAGGTGACAGAGTGAGACTGTCTAAAATAAAATAAAATGAAATAAAATGAAAATCAATCATGTAACACCCCAAACAAACTCTTTCAGTGACTCCCAATGTCTTAAAAATAAAGTTTGTCCTCTTCAGCATGGTTTATGAGGCCATTTACAATTTGGCTCCTTCTAATTTCCCTCGTTTTATCTTTTGCACCCTAAATGTTCTCCAGCCATACTCTATGACGAGTAGATTAGAGCACACTATTTTCCTGCATTGCTTGGAACAACTTCCCTATTTGCCTGCCTGTCTAGCTTCCACTTCAATGCCACTTTCTCTAGGAGCCTGTCTTAGTTCATTTTCTGTTGCTTATAACAGAATACCTGAAACAGGGTAATTTATAAGGAAAAGGAACTTATTTTTACAATTATGGAGAGTGAGAAGTCCAAAGTCAAGAGATCACATCTGGTGAGGGTTTTCTTGCTGGCAAAGACTCTGCAGACTCCTGAGGCAGTGCAGGTCATCACACAGTGAGGGTTTGAGTATGCCAGCTCAGGCTTCTTTCCCTTCTTATAAAGCCACTGGTCCCATTCTCATGATAACCCATTTATCCACTAATGGACTCATCCTTCATGAGCGCTATCACCTATTAAAGGCCCCATCTCCCAATATTTCCACACTGAAGATTAAGTTTCAACATGAGTTCTAGAGGGTACAAATATTTAACCAATAGCCTAGGAGTATGGTGGAGGGTCTGTATATAATTATCCAAAGATCACTCAGCTTGATCTTACATAAAATCGTCTATATTGCACTAAGAATACCTGTTGATCATCTGTTTCTCATTACATATAAGCTCCTGAAGGCACGGATTGTATTTTTCTTTCCACCGCTGTATCTCCAGAAATTAGTACAATGCTTAGCACATAAAGTGCTTTCAAATGATATAAGAAATAGCTACGATTTAAAACTTAAAATTAACATTTAAAATTTGTAACCTGATTTATTCTATTTTAGTATGTCCACATAGGCATTTATATGGGTTGCAAATTGTTAATTCCTCAAAACACTCTTTCGCATTACTTGCTTAGTCTTTTTCATTTAATCCAAATTCACAATTATGTTTTTCATATTCAAAAGAGAATTAACAGGAAGACCATGAAATAAAATGCAAAAGAAAAGTTAACTAGGAATAATTAATTTATCCCAATAAATGCCATGATTTTGTTGCACAAACACTTTTCTGAGTTAAAATTTTAGAAAACCAAATTGCAAAATAAGGACATAACTACCTGATGTAGATATACTCAAGCCTTAAAGAGACCAATCGATTAAGATTTAAAATGTTGCCTTACAACAGCTGTGACTTTGAGTTAAATTACTTCATCTGTCTAATCTCCCCTGCTCCATTCTTTTTGGAAATAAATTAAAAAAACAAAAAACAAAAAACAAGGAAACATCTGGCACTTTGCCAGCAAAAACATGCTGCTCACAGAATGGTTGCTATTAAGACGACATGTTAACTACAGAGCTAAATAGCTAAATGCATTCATCTAGGACAGCATATGGAGTGACTGTGGCATCAGAGATGGTCCTGGGTGTGGTGGTTCACACCGATGTGGTGGTGTAGATTAGAACCTCAGGAGTACCCTCAGCTGAGAGTTTGATTTACTTGGTGTGGGTGAGAGCATTTGGATTTATGAGAAATTGTTCAGGTTATTCCAATATGCAGTCAGTGTTCTAAATCACTGCCTGAGGCAGTGTCTGTCAATCATTGAAGTGCATATGAATTACTTGAGGTCCTTGCTAAAATGCAGGTTCTGCCTTAGTGGGTCAAAGATGGGGCCTGAGAGTCTACAAATCTAAGAAGTTCCCAGGTGATACTGATGCCTCCGAGTTCCCAGACCACTCTTTTGGCGTCATCCCATCTCCTGAACTTGAATGGGCTCAAGGCACTGGGCAGTGTAGATGACCAGACTATGGGGATGAGTGTGACTCTGTCTTTGTGTGTGAGGTTCACCAAAAAGAAATGTTACCATATCAGCAGAGTACTGAATGCATGTATATTCTATACACCTATTACAGGTTGTTATAACTATGTTGGGAAAGGTAGGATCCTGCCCTGCCTTTGCACCTTACACCCACATTTCTCTGCTTGAAGATCTTTTTTAAGAATTATTTTCTTTTTTCCAGCCTTCTTAGCAATATTCTATTTTTACCTGATTTCACTTAATAAAAAGTTAGAGAATTTCACATTATATAATTTCTTGCAGAATCTCCATCCCTTGACGTATCCTGGCATGGTGTATGCACATAAATTACTTGGTTGGACATTACACATCTAGATGTGTATCTTGCAGAATCTCCATCCCTTGACGTATCCTGGCATGGTGTATGCACATAAATTACTTGGTTGGACATTTGGTCATTTTCTCCTTGAGTAGGGCATTGGTATTTACTGAAAGTATATTTAGACTTCAGTTAACCCAAATCATCATGCAAAACCATGTAAGATGAAAACACAGGGGCTGGGAGCAGTGGCTCACACCTGTAATCCCAGCACTTTGGGAGGCCGAGGCGGGCGGATCACGAGATCAGGAGATCGAGACCATCCTGGCTAACATGGTGAAACCCCGTCTCCACTAAAAACACAAAAAATGTATCCGGGCGTGGTGGTGGGCACCTGTAGTCCCAGCTACTCGGGAGGCTGAGGCAGGAGACTGGCGTGAATCCGGGAGGTGGAGCTTGCAGTGAGTCAAGATTGGGCCACTGCACTCCAGCCTGGGTGACAGAGTGAGGTTTTGCCTCAAAAGAAAAACAAAAACAAAAACAAAAAAACCGCAATTGCATATTTTTTCCATTATTGTAAATTTAATGGAAACAAAGAATAAGAATTGCATCAAGTTTGAGGTATCAATGGAATCACAAATTGTATCTCCTACAGGTTTTGCCGTATTGCAACTTTGCAGTTCCAATTAGGATGGACCTCTGTGAATTTTAACAATAAGAAGCCATGGTACCTGACACTTGCTGTTGCAGTGTTAACCTGCGTACAAGATGAGATATTCAACTACATATCCACTAGCAGAACATCACTGGTTTGGGATATCAAAACTTTTTCCCTAGACTAGATAGCATGATTTTTATGTAACTCCTGCTGCCTGTGGATGGCAGCTGCAAAACAAAGTCAAAATCATATAAAAAGAAACTACTACATGCATGCTACACAAATCTCACTGGGGTGATTATAGGATTATTCTACCCCATAATGCATGGAATTTAATACTTTGGAGCAAAATCTGGCTCCTGTGGAACCCGAGATCTTTGCCCGATATAAACTCACCACGTGTAGATAATTTGTCCTCTGGGATAGGTGTAGAGTATGATATAGCAGTCACCACCATAGAATTCACCATATGAGTTTTGGTCGACTTGGATCCTACCATTGTTTTCTACACGCCAAATCTGGAAGGAATGGAATATATACATCAAATTACAATTTTCTTGATCTAATAGTACTTCTCATAAGCTTTAAATAATTTTTGGTTCAAATCTATTATTAAACAACTTTTAAATTATTTTTTAACTAGTTTACAAATCAAGCAAAGGAAAGAAATTGTTATCAATTTGCCAATTTATTGACATTTTAAGTACTTTTATGTTTCTTTTGCTTCCTCTACAGTATTAAGCTCAGTTCCGAGCCTGGTGATTAATAAATACCTATTGTTTCATCTACTAGTGGAAATAACATGACACTCCAGTGGAATAAAAAACTGCAAGATTCAGCTCAGAAATATGTATTTTAATTTTTTCTTCAATTATGAAATAACATGCGTATTTTTTTCCCTGTGCTTTAAGATAGAAGACTATTATTTTCCCAGGCAAGACTTGGTAGACTGTGACCAAACACTGAAGATGCTACAACACACTGAATGTTTGAGTCCTTCCACGATTTATGTTGAAATCCTAACCTCCAGTGTGACGGTATTAGGAGGTGGGACCTTTGGGAGGTACTTAGGTCATGAGGCCAGAACCCTCATGAGTGAAATTAGTGCCTTTATAATCAGAAAGCTCTCTAGCTCCTTTTTCACCACGTGAGGATGCAGCAAAAAGTCTACCGGGAAGTGGATCCTCCACCAAACACTGAGCCCATCAAAACCTTCAGCGTAGACTCCCCAGCCTCCAGAATGGTGAGAAATAAATGTTTCTGCTTAAACTCTCAATCTACGGTATTTTTGTTATAGTAGCCTGAACAGACTAAGACCAAAACGATAACATGACTTCTGTTTTTAAAAGGTGCCATCCAGGTATAAGACTGAAATGTGATGATGGGATAAAAACAGGCAGAACCACTTTCATTCTACCTCCTCATCTTCAGCACAGATTAAAGACCCTCCAAGTTGGAGAGATGAGAACTGTAGATGAAACAGGAGAGTAACAAATGAAGGAGAGGCTGCCAGGCACTGTGTGTGTACATGTAAGCACACATACACACACACACATACACACATATGCACACTTGCCTAAGTTCTCCGGTGGGAAGGGCAGACTCTTTGCTTTGAAATCTGAAGATGAGCAAGTGGACAGGAGCAGTGCAATGCTTCTAGAGAGAGGCCACCCCACCCTATCCTAGAGAGCAGAAGCCTTATATCCTAGAGACAGCACAAGATCCTAGAGAGAGCTCCCCAGATTTCAGCAGCCCTAGGATGGCACAGGAGAAGGCTGCAGCCAGGACACAGCTGGTGCTGGAGACCAAGTTTGCCAGGAGGACTGAGCTCCAGCAGGAATGTCTAAGTAGGAGACAGATGCAGACCCAGAAGTCGATACCCCTCCGACAACAACCATGAGGGACATTTGTGAACTTCTCCCTTGGCGCTCCCCACTCCCCAACACCCATGCCACTTAGATTCATGCTTCATGTCTTTGAAAAGAGGAAAAAATATTTCACTAATTTCTTGACCGTATACTTTGGTCCAAGCATTGTGGTAAGCCCTAGGAATATAGAGATGAAATATTTAATTCCTGTCCTCAAGGAATTGATGAGAGGTCTAGGAGAAATCTGGCAGTAAATGAACAATTCTGTGGTAGGTATATGATAAATTCTGTGAAAAATATCCCTAGAGGTTGAACACAGAGAAAGGCCACTTCAGCACTGAGGGAAGCCTTCTCAGAAAAGGTATGGCTTATGATTTAACTGAGTTGCCAATGAGGTGTAGGAACGTTAGCTAGATGGCAGAGGGGAAGTCAGTACTCAAGGCAGTGGATAGGTGAAGCCAAGAGGAGGGAAAGGGTCAAGGGTCCAGCTGAAGACATATACATTTATAAATATATATGTATATATAAACACAGATATGTGTATGTATACACATTTATATATGTGTGTGTGTGTGTGTATACACATTTCTCCCTCTGTCACCCAGGCTGGAGTGCAATGGTGTGATCTTGGCTCACTGCAGCCTCCACCTCCCAGGCTCAAGCGATTCTCATGCCTCAGTCTTCCAAGTAGCTGGGACTACGGGTGAGCTCCACCACAGCTGGCTAATTTTTGTATTTTTAGTAGAGGTAGGGTTTCACCATGTTGGCCAGGCTGATCTCGAACTCTTGAACTCAAGGGATCTCCCCTGCCCTCTCCCAACAGACACTAGCATTCATGGACTTGACGAAAACAAAAACAGGTAAATACCTCCACTTTGCCAGAACCATCATCCACCATATTATGCTGGGCTGCCATCTGTGGAGAACTATGTAATTTTGAGGCATCAAAGGGAATTTGTTTTATTTGAGCCACTTTCTCTGTGACATATACTTTCCCGAAGCCATCACTCTGATCTTTATCTCTCCAGTCCTTAAAAAACTGTTTGAAGATTGGTGTTTCACCTCCTTCTGGAAGAACTTGAATCTGAAATGTAAAATAATAATAATAATAAACAGGAAAATAAACAATTGAGGGAAAATATGAATCTGGCAGTGGAGACAGAACTAAGGAAATGAAAAATTATCCTGGTTTGGCTATCAAGCTCATATAATCCAAAACTGCTTTTTCTCATGACTAAAGTAATTACCACTGAATTTTAATATTTGAGAGACGAATCAAGTTCTTTAATATGTTATCCCTGAGGTACTTAGGTCATGAGGCCAGAACCCTCATGAGTGAAATTAGTGCCTTTATAATCAGAAAGCTCTCTAGCTCCTTTTTCACCACGTGAGGATGCAGCAAAAAGTCTACAGGGAAGTGGATCCTCCACCAAACACTGAGCCCATCAAAACCTTCAGCGTAGACTCCCCAGCCTCCAGAATGCTGAGAAATAAATGTTTCTGCTTAAACTCTCAATCTACGGTATTTTTGTTATAGTAGCCTGAACAGACTAAGACCAAAACGATAACATGACTTCTGTTTTTAAAAGGTGCCATCCAGGTATAAGACTGAAATGTGATGATGGGATAAAAACAGGCAGAACCACTTTCATTCTACCTCCTCATCTTCAGCACAGATTAAAGACCCTCCAAGTTGGAGAGATGAGAACTGTAGATGAAACAGGAGAGTAACAAATGAAGGAGAGGCTGCCAGGCACTGTGTGTGTACATGTAAGCACACATACACACACACACATACACACATATGCACACTTGCCTAAGTTCTCCGGTGGGAAGGGCAGACTCTTTGCTTTGAAATCTGAAGATGAGCAAGTGGACAGGAGCAGTGCAATGCTTCTAGAGAGAGGCCACCCCACCCTATCCTAGAGAGCAGAAGCCTTATATCCTAGAGACAGCACAAGATCCTAGAGAGAGCTCCCCAGATTTCAGCAGCCCTAGGATGGCACAGGAGAAGGCTGCAGCCAGGACACAGCTGGTGCTGGAGACCAAGTTTGCCAGGAGGACTGAGCTCCAGCAGGAATGTCTAAGTAGGAGACAGATGCAGACCCAGAAGTCGATACCCCTCCGACAACAACCATGAGGGACATTTGTGAACTTCTCCCTTGGCGCTCCCCACTCCCCAACACCCATGCCACTTAGATTCATGCTTCATGTCTTTGAAAAGAGGAAAAAATATTTCACTAATTTCTTGACCGTATACTTTGGTCCAAGCATTGTGGTAAGCCCTAGGAATATAGAGATGAAATATTTAATTCCTGTCCTCAAGGAATTGATGAGAGGTCTAGGAGAAATCTGGCAGTAAATGAACAATTCTGTGGTAGGTATATGATAAATTCTGTGAAAAATATCCCTAGAGGTTGAACACAGAGAAAGGCCACTTCAGCACTGAGGGAAGCCTTCTCAGAAAAGGTATGGCTTATGATTTAACTGAGTTGCCAATGAGGTGTAGGAACGTTAGCTAGATGGCAGAGGGGAAGTCAGTACTCAAGGCAGTGGATAGGTGAAGCCAAGAGGAGGGAAAGGGTCAAGGGTCCAGCTGAAGACATATACATTTATAAATATATATGTATATATAAACACAGATATGTGTATGTATACACATTTATATATGTGTGTGTGTGTGTGTATACACATTTCTCCCTCTGTCACCCAGGCTGGAGTGCAATGGTGTGATCTTGGCTCACTGCAGCCTCCACCTCCCAGGCTCAAGCGATTCTCATGCCTCAGTCTTCCAAGTAGCTGGGACTACGGGTGAGCTCCACCACAGCTGGCTAATTTTTGTATTTTTAGTAGAGGTAGGGTTTCACCATGTTGGCCAGGCTGATCTCGAACTCTTGAACTCAAGGGATCTCCCCTGCCCTCTCCCAACAGACACTAGCATTCATGGACTTGACGAAAACAAAAACAGGTAAATACCTCCACTTTGCCAGAACCATCATCCACCATATTATGCTGGGCTGCCATCTGTGGAGAACTATGTAATTTTGAGGCATCAAAGGGAATTTGTTTTATTTGAGCCACTTTCTCTGTGACATATACTTTCCCGAAGCCATCACTCTGATCTTTATCTCTCCAGTCCTTAAAAAACTGTTTGAAGATTGGTGTTTCACCTCCTTCTGGAAGAACTTGAATCTGAAATGTAAAATAATAATAATAATAAACAGGAAAATAAACAATTGAGGGAAAATATGAATCTGGCAGTGGAGACAGAACTAAGGAAATGAAAAATTATCCTGGTTTGGCTATCAAGCTCATATAATCCAAAACTGCTTTTTCTCATGACTAAAGTAATTACCACTGAATTTTAATATTTGAGAGACGAATCAAGTTCTTTAATATGTTATCCCTGCAGTAAAATAAGTTTGTCTTTCTCCATAAGGTTCACAAGAGATCTATGAGCTGGAAGAAATTATCTCATTGTGTTCCTTGTGTAAGGACATAAAAACGAGGAGAATAGATGAGGCTGAGAGATTTGGAAAGGAAAGGAGTAATTAGACAGGGTCTAAATTGATTTTGATTAAGACAAGTATCATCTGGGTTTCAGGCCAAGTCTGCACAACTTGCTCTAAGGAATAATAACTCATAAGTGCTCTTAGCTAAATCTACTGTGGTTTACTATCTTGAATTAAAGGCAGTGGAGGAAGTGAATGGGCGCTCTATAGAAAGTCTGATGAGCAGTTTCTAAAAAATTCTAACCCCCACACAGATAAAGAGGGACATGTGACACCAGATTGTAGCAGGCAGGCAGGTGGAGAATCACTTCACATGCAGACGTTACTTTGACCCAAACTTTTTCATGAGTTTCATCGAGATGTCATGAGTTCCCATGTTTTCTATTTTTTTCTAGCCAGTTCATTTTCACACATACTTGGGTATTCTTGGAATAATTCATTTGCTGTAGAAATTCTTCAGCTGTCTTCATTGCAGCCTTCCTCTCCTGGGGATTAGCATCTTTACCTAAAATACAAGGTAAATTAAAGAGAAAGAACTTCAGAGAAGGAAGACATTCTATGATTAAGAAATACTTGTGTACCATAATAAACATAATTACAATTGAAGTTAAATGCAACAGTGAAAGAATAACAAAATTGGCCGGGTGTGGTGGTTCATGCCTGTAATCCCAGCACTTTGGGAGGCTGAGGCGGGTGGATCACGAGGTCAGGAGTTTGAGACCAGCCTGGCTAACACGGTGAAATCCCGTCTCTACAAAAAAATTAGCCAGGCATGGTGGGCGCCTGTAGTCCCAGCCACTCGGGAGACTGAGGCAGGAGAATGGCGTGAGCCTGGGAAGCCGAGCTTGCAGTGAGCCGATATTGCGCTACTGCACTCCAGCCTGGGTGACAGAGCAAGACTCTGTCTTAAGAAAAAAAAAAGAATAGCACAAATTTCCTGGTATATGAAGTATATTTAACAATACGCGAAAAACGTTATTTGTAAAACAATTCTTTTTATATTGCCCAAATGCTTTTTTTTTTTAAACTTCATATCCCTGGTACATGATGTTGGTAGGAGGAAAATGGCTGTATTTTATGTGAGACATTTATAGATCAAGTCTTAATTAAAAGGTGGGATTTTTAAAAAAAATCAAAAAATATATTTTATGTAGCCTTTTAGAGGAAATATATATACATTGGAAATACAGTATCGCCAATGGAATTTTTCACCTTTCCATACGAAAATTTGTTTTGCAGCCCCGTAGTCCAAAATAAAGCATTCTTCAGAAAGCAGCATTGCCATCGAGAAGGGGTTTTCTTCTGCCACCACAGTCACTCTCATGGAGCCACTTGCATCTGAAACCTAATATAAAAACCACGACCTCCATGTTTTCATTTGGGGATGATAAGGATGTTCTATAATTAGATTATGGTAATGGTTGTACAACTCGGTAAATGTAATAAAATAAAAAGCATTGAACTGTACACTTTAAATGCATGAATTTTATGGTGTATAAATTATATCTCAATAAAACTGTTTCAAAGAAAATGAAAAGAATCCACAAGACTTCATTACACTCCAATTTTTTTTAAAAAGTCCTTTGGGGTAAACTTAACAAATAAAAAGTTAAGTTTTGACACTGTGCCTAAAACATCAGAAAAGAATAGTGATAGTAATAATGGCTAGACAGATGCTCTTATGTACTAAGAACCATGTAATTAACTTTACATGATTATTTCTTGTACGTTTTAGAGCAATCTTTTCAAATAGGTAATAATCTTAAAATCATTACATACACACAAGAAGATGAAGTTTAAACATTAATTTAGTCAACATTTACTATCTACTATATACCAGCCACTTTGCTAATTAAGCTATTGATACAGTTTATGCATAAAGATTTTTTTCAACATAGGTCCTGCAAGGTAAATACACTTTGTATAAATTATCAAAGTAAATTTCTTCTGTCACATTTGGAAATGACTACAGACTATTAAAACAAATTTTTAAGTGGTCTTATAAAATCGAAAGTGATATTCATGTGCAAGTTAGGATTTACTGGTTTTCAATGGCCAGCTTGTATGCTACAGTTTAGTCACCAATTATGCAGATTCCAGAGCCCTCCCTTGATCAGTGGTGGAGTTTTGCAGGACCAGGGTGGAGTCTGAATTCCGTAGTTTTAGAAAATGCCCCAGGTGATTTTGCTTGCCAGCCTTGTTAAGAAACCGGAATTATTTTCAAAGGAACTTTATACGTTATATCCATGTAATACAGCATAGCTCCACTAGAGGAAGCTATGACTCAGGATGAATATCTTCCCCTTTAAAAACACTTCTTCAGTTCATAATGCTGTCCAAGAGGGAGAACCGTTTTGGTTGATGATGTGAAATAAAAGATATCTGTCAGGCTGTTGAAAATGAGTTTTAGAAATAGTAATTTTTAAAAGCAGTCACAAAATATTTAGGTAACACTTTCTGTATGGCTTATATTAAAATTACCAGTATTTAGCAGAAATAGTAACCATATTTCCTTTCGCATCTAGGAAGAAAAAAATCCACTTATTATGAAAAGGAAGTTACGCTGAACAAGTTATTAATTTGGTCTTCACATAAAATCACAGAGTTTCGGAGCCAAAAACCCCTTAAAGAGCAGCAAATATAGTTTCTTTCTGATACAGATGAGAAAACTACTAAATTCTGCTGGAGATTTACGATTTGCTCCAAAGAAAGTTGCAAGGGGAGGGAACACTTGAAGAATACCACTGTAGCAATCCCCTTAACTGGAGTGCCTTGCAGTTTTTGTTACCCTCAACAGAAAAAACAAACAAACAAAAAAATAAAAAAACTACAGAGTTGGAAGGAACCTACTTTCTTTTCTGTGTGTGGATAAGAATGCTAAGACCCAGAGTGGTTATGTCCTGTGCGAAGTCATGCTGCTAATCATGTGCCATACAGCTGATGTGAAAGTAGGTATGTTAATGCCCAGAACAGAAGTGTTTTTACCCTGGTTCCCTCCAGCTGTTTCATTTGGTAGCTCAGCCCTCCTGTAACAAAGAACTCCTTCATTATGGCTAAAGACAATGTTTTAAATAGGGTGAAGGCTTTACATTCTTATCAAGAATTTATAAGAAAAAACTGATAAAATATTTTTACTCCATAAAGGAAATATTGTATTGAGTACTACATATCAAACGATTGTTGCAAACTAGTACAGCAACAGTATATAATTTTATGTGAGTCACAGCAATAAGTTCACATATTTGTTGTTTTACATAAAAATAACAAAAAGTATTAAAACAATTTAAAAAAATATACAAGAGCAAAGAACTGATTCTATCTACACATTGCTCTTGGAGAGTGATGAGGAGATTTCTCAATTGCAACAAAGGGAATCCCTCCCAATACAGGCCTCTCTAGCTACATCCAGTCCTGTAGAAACAATAAATTTGGTTACAGTGAACTCACCATGTATAGTTTAGCCATTTTCCTGTTACTTATGTCTGCTATAATGTCATCATCATCACCTCCATCTGGAAGCTCCGGCTTTCCTCCTAAGACCTGGAAAAAAGTGAACAGTGGATGCAAAGATAAAGACCTCTCATTAAAGGATGCAGAGTTAGAAACATACATTTATAAAGACATGGATTATAAAATATTTGCAATTAAAATGACCAGGCTCAAACACTTCTCATCAATTCATACATAGTAGTCCTTTTCACATGGGTCAAATCAATCAATTACATTAAGTAAACTGAGTTTGCTCGTGATATGAATTTCCAAGAAAGGAAAATTCCTAATTTGAAAGCCTAGGTGTCCATATTACTGAAAGCTAGAAGGAATTAATTAAAACTTGAGCTCTATGTTCAGCTCTGCAGCAGAATTTATTCTATGACCTCTGCTTCTAGAAATAATCTCTAAGGTTTATGAGTTTATTATAATAAAGATTTGAATCAAAATTACCATCTGGAGGTAAAATACTATTATAATTATTGACATATAGGATGAAGTGCAAGCTCTTGAGCACCGAAATCACGCTTTGTTTTCTGCTGTATCGTTGGCACTTGGAACAGTTCTTGGGACATAGTATATGCTCAGTATTTGTCAAATTAATGAATAAATGTATTTATCTATTCTGTGCATATGTGATGCAATCCAAAAGTCTAAAAAAGTGTTTGGTAGAAAATACATTTGAATCTGCTTTGAATTTCTTTATATTAAAATAAAAAATATGTCTATGAGTAATTAATTTATTAAATTAATTAACACAAACAGCATAGAATGTCAAGGACAGGAATCAAATATAAACTTATTCTAAATAATTTAATTTTTATAATATAGATATAAATTCGTTTAGAAAATGCAAAAGTGTTCATTTAGATACAACAAATATTTAATACACAATGAGTTCCTTACATAATGTGTTTTATATTCACTATTCCTTACAATATATTGTATAAAAATGTGTACTGCAAAATACCAGAAAACAATAAAAATATACTTTTATACTTGCATGAGTATAAGTACATTCTCAAATTTAGAGATGCATCAGAGAACTTACGTTCTCTGAGAACATACCTATCTTTTTATTTGTACTATGACCAATAAGATGTTTTAGATACTGTACATGCTAAATGATTGTAATAGTTTTTCTTTTTTTGCCAAAAATAGAACCAAGCAAAAAAAACAAAACAAAACAAAACAAAACAAAAACACTTGTGACCAAAAGCCTTTTTTAAAAAACACTTTTGCTATAAGTATGTATAGGTTGTAAGAGCCATCAAAGATCTCCTCACATATACTTTTCTAATTCTACTCCAACTAAGACCGTAGTTTGGAATAAACAGTTTGTGTTAAGGGCATATCTAATACTAGGAAACCTCCCAGCGGGAGGACCCAGTCTGGGATTTGAGGCACACTCTAACTTTTAATTTTCAGACCACAATTCCCATATTAGCCAGGCATCTTAATTAGCTTCTCAAAGGACTGCAGCATAGTTGGGAATTGAACCCAAGGGATTTAACAAAAACAGGCTTAACTCCGGGGTAGAAAGATGCCGTATATTTGTCAGGAATCATCTCTAAGGATCACTTTAAAATTGAGTTCAACTAAGCATTTATCAAATATTTGAGGTCACTGAGGTATATAGATGAATTTCTAACCACATTATCCAACACTTAAGGACTTTACATCTGGTGTAAAAAGAGCAAAATAACTAAATATGTTCACTTTATCAACTAGGCCATACATTTTGATCTTTGACATAAACTGTGAATACAGCTTGGAGTATCATGCTTGAATGTAAAACATTTTCATTTTGGGTTGCCCACGCGATTGGCATTTAGCTCATGTAATCCTTTGCATGTGAAATAACATATATTTTGACAATTTAATGGGGTACAAACACAGAGAACCCTCATTTGAGGGTGTTACATAAAAATTTCATCAATTGTTCTAGCCAAGATTTATCTTGCAAGTTTGGAGCTCCTCTTTCTTTCAATTATTTTCTGTAAGTTTCTGTTTAAAAGTATTGCCATCATCTAAATACTCCAAGCTAAACTTATTTTCTACAAAATTAGCCACTCTCAATTCTCCATTTGTGTAATGTATCTCTATTCTCTCCTCTTTATATGGACTTACAATTATGTGATCAGTTTTAAATACTTCCTCTCCTGCGCTTTGGATCTCCTACCCACTCCTACCCACTTATTATTTTTAATAATGGTTAGTCACCGATTCCCGTCTATTCCTTGATTCAGACCCTAGTGAAGGCCCTCATCCCTCTTGTTGTGGGTAACAGCTCTGCCAGTTCCACTTCCTTCAGTGTCACCTCATTTTTTCATCCTAAGAGTTATCCTGGACACTGGCTGCAAGGCCCCTTACTTCACATTACTCCTATGTTGTAGGAATATGACTCTAGATCAAGGAAATCCTGTCATTTGCAACAACATGGACGAACTTATTGTATATTACGCTAAGTGAAATAAGACAGATACAGAAAGATAAACAATGCATGAACTCATTAATAAGTGGAATCCAAAATAGTCCAATTCATAGAAATAGAGTGGTAGAATGGTGATTGCCAGGGGCTGAAAAATAGAAGAAATGGAGAAATGTTAGTGAAAGAATTCAAACTTCCAGGTATAAGATAAATAAGTTCTGGAGAAAAAATATAGTATGATGGTTATACTTATTAATAATGTAGTTTATATTTGAAATTTGCTAAAAGAGAAGATATTAAAATATTTTCACCACACACACAATGTGAGGTGACAGATGTTAATTATCTTCATCGTGGCAATCATTTCACAACTTATACATATATCAAAATACCATTTTGATAGATGTATGCACATCATATATATATATATAGGATCTATCAAAATATCACATTTTGATAGATGTATATGTACAAACTTTGTCAATTATCCCTTTATAAAGCTGGAAAACATTTAAAATTTCCTTTTAAATTTTTAAAAACTAAAAACTAAAAAAATTTATATTTTACGTCTGCTGCAGTGGTTTCCGAACTTCAATGTACTAAAGCAACACCTGTGTGACTTTGTAACTACAGATTCTCAGCTGCCATCCATTGAGTCAATAAACAGGTCTATGGTGAGGCCCAGGAATCTGTAATCTAGATTATTCTGAATTGGGTGCTCCCACTGACCCAAAACTTCTGTCTGAATCCGAAGTCCCCTTCAGATGCTGAATGTCATCTGTCCTGCATTATTTCTCAGCATTCTCTACCTTGTACCCACCTCTAATTAGGCTGACATACTCGGCGTTCCCTGTGGAAGCCATGCCCATTCTTTCCCCCTTGCTAGCTAGGAAATTAATAATCACCCAGCCTTAGAGTTTCTAGGTTCTCACGACCTGTCTCAAGACCACCCTTGGTGTTTCTTTCTTTCTTTCTTTCCCTACTATGATCCAAGGTGAACTTTTCTTTTTAAAACTTAAGCAGGCCTATGTGGAAATTTGTATTTTTAGATAAAAGGATCAGGCAGCTAAGAAACAATTGCTATACTATTTTACTCTCTTAATCCTTAGTTTTTCATAGTATGTACATCCGTTTTTACTTATTCATTTATTTTTTACCTTTTAGTCAACTCTACCTACTTTAGATAAAAAATTCCAACATTTACACTGGCTCGTTCTCAAGATGTGGTTTCCCTTCTTTATACAAAAAAGTCAAGATGTTTGGCCACTTAAGAATAAATAGTTGTAATGCATCATAAGAAAACAATACTGATGTATAACCTGGAAGAAGGACAATATGTAACTCAAAGCTACATATCACTGTGGATGAAAATGCGCCAAGTTGGTGCCAAGTCCTAAAGGCATTTAACATTGAGGGCCTTATGTGCTCCCAGCAGAACTCTGGGAGACAGGCAGGACCTATATCATGATTACTTTAACTTCATAGATTGAGAAAATGAGACCGAAGGAAGTTAGGAGTTTTGCCTTAGATCTGTGTCTCATAAATATTAAAGCAAATATGTAAACCCCAGGCATTCTAACCTCTACTTCAAAGTTCTTTATATAGAAAATGAGACATTTCATTCTTCTCACTTTAATCATTTTAGGGTAGATGGCTCTGGTTTTATTTTCACTAAAAATAGAATCAGCTCACAGGTTCCAAGAATGGACATTTTAATTACTCAGTAAATTCTGTATCTTACTTCCTTTCCTTAACTGAGAAACAATCAGTAGCGTGCAACATATGGAGCACAGAAATAAATTGTAAGAGTGAAGCTAACCCTTGTTGTTATGGTGTATTTACTTGCTGCAAGGCATTTTATGCCTTAGATAAGACAAATATTTGATAACAGGGAAGATCCACAGAGATATAAAATGACTGGTGATTCTGAGGAAAGCTGCAGTCTTATTTAGCCAGCTCCACCCACTCTAGATATAAGACTCTAATATTTACTCTGCTGCTGTCTCTCAGTGATGGCCTCAAAAATACCTTTATCCCTTTATTCATAAATGAAATAGAGGGTGATTTCATATATTAAAGAATAGATAAAGGTATTTTAGAGGAGGGAAAGCATGTGAGGTATTTTAGAGGTAGGAAAGCATATTTGGATAAAAAGACAAAGTGAATTGGGCATCTGCAAGAGGTTTAGCTATAGTGCAGTGCTGTCCTGTAGAAATTTCTGCAATACCAAATATTCCATATCTGTGCTATCCAACACAGTTATCACTAGCCTTTTGTAGCTAATGAGTACCTGAAATGTGGCTAGTGTGACCGAGTAACTGAATTTTACATTTTATTTAATCTTAAGGAATTCAAATGTAAACTTAAATAGTCACTCATGTCTAGAGGATGCCAGATGGCAAGTGCAGCCCTAGAGGCCTCAGGGAAATGCTGTGGCAGTGGGGAACTTATCATGAGGCAGGACAGAGCTTCAGCATTCCTGTAATATCAGCGTATTAGAGGATAGATGTTGAAGGGTGAAACTCATATGAAAGTTACCCCAAAATTTACTATAATATGGAAAGTTACCTTACAAGTTACTACAACATAGAAAGCAAAATCACAAGTCATTAAAAGCCAT